TAACCCTAACCCTAACCCTAACCCTAACCCTAACCCTAACCCTAACCCTAACCCTAACCCTAACCCTAACCCTAACCCTTGGTTAGTACGATTAAGCTTGTCTCTAACTCTAAAACATAGCAGAAATCACACTAAGTAGAGGAAAAGAATGGCAAGTGAAAACTCAATAAAAGAAATAAATTTCATGGACTATTTTTATAGTAGAGATAAATGACAAAGATATCTATGGGAGTATAGAAGTAGCACTGAAACATCAGCTGGCTCAGCCTAACCACGTACAACATCACTCATCTCAAACAACATAATCACTTCCCATATCCTTCTCTTTTCTTCCACTCAATGAAGCAAAAGGCGTGGTAAAGAACGCAACGAATTGTTCCACAATAGTAGGAGGTTTCGTCGGCTCTCGCTTAAGACTTTCCTCTATTTGCTTCTGAAAGTAAGCTTCTGCGTCACTTTCTTCTGGTGTCAATCCACCAGTAGTGATAGGATTAATACGGGATAATTCCTCTTGTGTATGAGATATTGTGTGTTGTGAAGAAGTCATTTACGTTTATTTGCTTTTGACTCTGGGCTTTTCGACAATGTTTTAGTACAGATTAGAGAAGGTGGGAGAATGTTGGATGCCTGGTTCAAAGTCAAAATAGGAGTTATGTTATAGACAGAATACGTGATTAGTTTTCTATTGTTTTGCATTGTTCTTGTCTAGTTTCTCATGGGAAACAACGTAATGGTAAGTGAGATTTCTTTGTTGGGTGTGATTCAGGGGGTTCATGGGATGAGGAAATTCTCTAAAACATGAAACTTTCTTTCTTCAAGTTTATACTTGGGTATCTGCAAGATAAGTAACCATGGATCAAAGGATCCACCACGTTAAAAAAATTAAAGAAGTTCAGACAAAAGTCACTAGTGAAATTACGATTTCATGAATCCCATATAATACTACTGGTATCCGAATCCAGAAATCAGGTTAAGCGCTTTTGAAAGAATCATTCTTGTTTTCCGTAAAATTCCAACCACTTGTTCCCCGCAGCCTCTCACAACACTGCAAGCAAGATCACGTGGCACGCCCCCCTTTCCAGATTTCCTGCGATGAAGGCGAAGAGTATTGTCTCTCCGTATCAGGAAACATGCAGAACATTACATATTAGCCCTCTAGATGCAGATTCCGATCTTTAATGTTTAACGTTCAACATTCAATGTGAAGTGAGTACATATTTTCATTCTCAGATATCCGATCCATAAGCCTATGAAACCACGAAGAATCCCTCAGAAGTTCGAAGAAGAAACCGCCCCTCAATAGCTATAACCAATAAACCAACCCCATTCCCATCTTATCCCCTCCCTCTTTCCAGTCTCCCCACAAACCACATACCACATCCCCATCAACTGATCAATACCACACACACACACACACACGTCTGGAACCGCACATACCCATCCAAACCAACAATGTCCACCCTCCTCACCAGCAACTACACCTCCCACATCCCAAGCAACAGCCGACGTAGCGGCCCAACATTCGACAGCTTCCTTGCACCCCAAGATGAGATATCCTCTAGATCTATAGGTTCATCACCCAATCCTTCGAAAACCTCATCACGAGAATCACAGGTTATACACCTCCCCGCTCCCACTCCCCCTTTTTTTCCAAAGAAGAAAAATGCTAACTCTATAATCTAATTTCAGAATACCTCCACATCAAGATCCCACATCATAGCCTGCTACCCCCAAGACTACGGCTACAAACAACAGTTTACCGAGGAGGGAGTCATGTTCATACATCCTGGGATAACGATAAAGAATGACACGCTTCGGGAGGATATCAGGGGTGTGTTTGGGAGGGTGAGGAGGAGTGTGTTGGGGGTTGGGATTCAGAAGAGGAAGAGGAGAGGGGGTGGGAGGTGAATTTGAGCTGATTTGATAGGGTAGAGATGGGCGGTGAGACTTGCAAATGCATATGGGATAGATTATGAAGTCTGGAGCAAGAGGCAACGGTGGATATTTGTGGAGTTTTGGGTTGTTTGGATGGTATTGTTTGGGATAGGTAAGGATTGATTGGCATAAAAAGCCCATAATACTCGGCTTTGGAACAAATGAACCTTGAACAATTTCTCTAGTACGCAATCTATTTAACAACCCCATAAAACAATGACTATCTCTTTCACTGCATCAGAGCGAGACAGTCAATCAACATTCAAGACTAATGAATGACAGGACAAAGAGGTTTGTTTAGGAAACAAAAGAAAACAACTTACAAATACATCTTCATTGTCCAAATGCTTGATTCTTTAGCTTGATAGTGAAAGGTAGACATACATTCTACACCTCTTCAATTTCTCGTATCAGCACATCCCTTCTCCAAACCATACATAACCAAGAAAAACTTCACTCAGCACAATCAATCCCAGAAGCCCATACTCAACTAATTTCATCCAACCAAACCCCATCCCACCATCACAGGAAACCAGAAAACCAAGAGAGAGAGAAACCACCAAAAAAACAAAAAAAAAAGATGGCACCCCACAAATCCAAATTCACAGAGCACATCTCCACCCCACCTCCAGACTCAGGAATAACATTATCAGACGTGTTATCTGAGTATTCCCCTGGTCCACCCTCTTCTCTACACAATTTCCACACGTCCATAAATTCCACACGTACACTAAGCGAGTGTACAACAAGCGGAGAGGTGGGAGGGACTTCACCAACGGAAACGGAATACTATCAACAAAGAAATGTGAATTCAGGTACTAACATAAGATCATTTGAGAGTTTACTATCTATGTATACAACGCCATCTGGCGCGGAGACAAATGCATCAACGGAGAAATTAGACGAGACTTGTCAGGAGGAGGGCAAGGAAAGGGTGACGATGGGGGAGAAAGTTGGGAACAGGAAGGGCGGGGGTAAAACGTGTTGTGTGTATATCCAAGAGATGATGATGAGAGGTCTTCGTGGGTTGAGGATGGGTAAGAAGGGGGAGGGTGACAGGAGGAAAGAAGAACGAGATCAGAAGGGAGAACAAGTTGGGCAGGAGGAGGTCGAGAATACAGATAGGGGGTTGATACCCCTATTACGGGATTGAGAGGGGAACAGCCAGGAGTGCTAGGTATAGCATCTATTCATGAGGTATATAGAAGTTATACACATTATATTCATAGCTTTCTCTGACTCTTCCATAATCAACCTGGTATGACGAGGCAATTTTACATCCAGTAATACAAACACCACCACAAGCCGGTTATCGGCAGCGAATCTTCTCGTCTGCTGTGGTACATTGCTTCATGTACCTGTCCCTTGTGCAGATCCCAATTGTATGGCTTGTATGGTCGTATGTGGTGTCACTTTACAACAATTTCCGTCGTGTGGGTATCATAACTCGTAAAACCACTCCCTCTCGCTAGCTCAACCGTCCAATTTTCGTAGAGTATGCTTTAACACTGCTTGAATTCCAGGATCCAAGTCTTCCACTTCCAGTATTGATTGAATCCATACGCGCGATTTCTTTGCAAACTCGTTCTTATCTTTGACTGTTTTTGCTGATTCCTTCAGTCGTTCCAATGCGACGCCAAGTGCAGCTGGGAATTCTGGCGAAGTATGCCCAAGACCCACCAGTGCTTGTCTAACATAACAATTGCAAGTGAAAGAATCTGCTGGGTATGATTCCACCATAGCATCAAGGACGTGTTGTAAAATCATAGGTAGGCATTTGACTTGTGTAAATGTGGCAAACATATCGAAGAAATCCTCGGCAGCTGACGAACAGAAAAATGGTTGTTTTCGCGCAGCATCGAATATTGCCATTGGAATTGCGCCGTTCAGCGCTGGCGTTGTCATGGGATCCTTTGCAGCTTCCGTGTCTACTTTGATACCCTCAATCATACTTGGTCGTATGGCATTTGTTTTGAATTCTGGAATCGCAATCACATCCGCCGATATATCGAATCCGGGCGTCTCTTCTGCCTCCTGATCATCTGTACCCATCGCCTCGGGCACATCCAATCCCAGAATCTTCCGACGCATTGCAATCTTTGCAAGAAATATCATCTCTAATTTGGCATATTCGATCCACAAGTCCTTGCTTCTCGTACAAAATCGTGTTCCCCTCTGCATATAACTCCGCGCTCCGTTGATATCCGCATCCGATTGTAATGACCATCTCGCAGCATAGAGCCATAATTCGGATTTGGTGGGGTGTAATCGGATGGCGGCTGTGAGAATCATCTTGAATTTCTTGGTGGCCTTTGCTTCCCTGGCGCATTCGAGATATGACATCCATAATGCGACATCGCCAGGATGTTTCTTGGTCGCGCGATCGAAGATCTGAAAGATGCGTGCCTGGCCTGAATGGGATTCGCTGCCTTTAATCCGTAATCGCTTGCATCGTTTTTGGCGCAAATGCTCGAGACTGATTTCCCATGCTGCGTATCTTGCAAAGTCCAAAGGTTGTGAGCCACGGCCAAGAACTCGATGTTCGAAGTCGGATCGCTTCTTCACCAACGTTCTGATCTCTTCCTAAGCCGAATTAATGCATGGACTTTGATCATGATGGCTCCAGCTTCCTCTGCAAATGCAATTGCTGGCCCGCGCATACCTCTGAGAAGATTTTCTTTTCCTTGAATTCCTGTAATTGAGGAACTGCTTGTTCCAGGTAGAAACGAGCTTTGTCGCTTGGCCCGGACATGATTGCGGGTTATTTTGGTCGTGCTTGCAGAGGTAATTTTGAAGCAATGAGGGGAGACCTAACGGGCGATTTGATTTTTTAGATCGCCTCGATCGCGTTCTTGGAGTGGAGCCAGCATGATACCGGTACCGATCATCGGCCATCTTGACTCCGAGGCCGATACCAATCCGAACAGTGTGCCAGCATGAGCACCGACCGTCCGACTCCGCCTCCGCCTCCACCTCTACCTCCAGCATGACGGCACATTTAAGTTCGCAGCTATATCCCTGTCAGCCTTCCCCCCTGGCGAGCCTGCCCCGGAGCTGCAGTGAGGGACAGAGACGCCGAGAGTTGTTGGAAGGGAGTGTGAAATAAGGAAGAACCTCCGAATTCTGGAGGCATTTCTCCCACATCAACACCTTCATTTTGGCGACCACTTCTGCCATTCGCCATTCCCGTGCCCCGGATCCTCCGGAAACCATTCTCTTGAATGTGAAAAACCACACGCGAACCACGATGGCACCCAAACTCAAGGACGGTGATGTCGTACTCGCCTTTTCTGGTAAATGGGTGTCCTGGATACACACCATCGCTGCCTACTGTATGAAAACATCCCATCCGAGTTTGCGCTGCACTTTTCCGCGCTGGTTTTGGAGGCATTTTCTAATCGTGTGTATACCTGTAGGTGCTTTCATCAGTGCATTAATTGTCGGCGTCTCGCTTCATTACCACAAAATTGTGCAGAACGAACATTATGGCTACCCCGATGAATGGTTCCCCTCTGTCTCCGCGACCATTGGCGACCGATATCCCGAGCGCTCATTTTTCATGCTATTCATTGCAATTACATCGGGTATGGCGATGGCAAATCAAGTATTCTCGGTGTCATGGCGATTGACGTGATTCTAGGTCCCAGATTTGTTTTGGTAGGATTATGGTACCTTCTCACGGCTCGCCCGAATTCCAACCTCCCCAAATTCGTTGCATACACCGGTCTCTTTCGTACCCTGACTTGCGGAGGATGGACATATGTGACATCAACCGACGATCACGATTGGCATGATATCTTCATGATTTCCTACCTTGTAGCCACCCTACCATGGACAATCGGCTGCCTTGCATTAAGTCCGGATAATGCAAGGGCGGTCAAGTACCGAAAGTATCTGGCCGGCGCATTCTTTGGCACCTTGATTCCCTTGATATACTTCTTTATACAACACAAGGTTCACAAAGTTGCTGGAGGTAAGCTATACTTCTGTTCGCGCTCACCAGAATACTCAAACTAATGTGACGCAGCCTATACAATATATGCTTTCTTTGAATGGTCTCTGGTTTTGTTTGACGTCGCTTTTGATGCAGTTACGGCTCTGGATTTTGAGACCTTCGAACTGGTGGTCAAAGACGTCAAGGGTGCGAGCAAGGGGTACGTCTATTGGCTTCCTAAATAGTGTATACGTATACATGTACTTTACGACAACAATTACTTGAATGTTTCTGAACAATACGTTTTTACAGAAACACCAAAATGTTAGCAGACTCGGTTCTTGAAAAACAGTATGTGATATGCACAATTCTAGTAGGGTTTTTTATTTTACTAACTCATTAGTAGAAAAGACAAGCAAGTTGGCCAAATACTCAGTCACCGATTCTTTTGGAGTGAGGCTATTGATGCTGCGGCGGACGTCTATCATGGCGTGAGTAGAATCATTCCAATTTCAGTTCCTTACTGACATAGGCGAAGTTTGTTTTTTGGTCAATATTGACTTCATTGGGTGTTGTAGTATGGTGTAAGTATCTTTCCTGCCAACCTCGAGGTTATGTCACTCACTTGCTTAGTCTTCCCCTTATGGCATATGGGTATCTCTGGATATGAGATCATCATCATGACAACAGTTTCCCCATTTCTCCTCAGCATCAAGCCTGTGCGTTCGATGGTCGTTAAACATCTTCGACTATGCCATTTCCTATCTCTCGCAGGATTGCTTGCATATCAAGTCGAGGATCCAGTTCTCCGATTGTTCACAGTTGGCTTTGGCGTTTGGATGTCGTGCCTATCTTGGGCTGCAACCTGTTATACAGAAGCTGGGTACCCTATTCGTCTCGAATCCAAGATTCTGGCATGGACAATGGGTCTACTCGCATCGAGCGTTGTGAAATTCGCTTTCAAAACCAGTAATCCAATCTGGCCAACGTCGCATGCTTCGAATGGGGGGTTGAACGGTCTAGGTTTCATTCTTGCTGTACTTGCTGTTATGCGCTCTACCCGTCGAGGTCCAACTGGCGGTAATGATCTCAACTTGCAGGGACGCCAAGAGGGCTCATCGGTTCTTGCTGGTTTGGGTATTGGCGGTATCTTTTTTGGCATGCATTTTCTGCTTGCCGACTCCAGCACGATGATTCTCTGGGTATGGGAAGGATATCCTATCAAGGGACCAATTGCTGCACCCCACGGCGCTTTTACGATCGCCGCTATGGGAGCTGGGTTGTTAATTGGACTTTTCCGAGACAGTCTGGCAACGGGCTGGACACTCTATGGGGTTGGCTGTATTGGTGCAGCACTACTCACCACCCGTAGCAATTGGACTGGATATTATGGCGCACTTGCCACGGCAGTATATCTGATGGCTGTATCTGTACCCTTGATTGGCTCAGCTGCTAGAAAGAACCCTGCCACTACTTTCGGGTTTGGTTTTTTGGTCTACAACTTCATGACCCTCTTCCATACGTGGGTGGTCGCTTATGCTTTTGTTCCTGGGGGTCATCTCGTTCGAGAGCGTACCGACTGGGTCGTAACAGCCACAATGATTCTCATCGGTTGTGGGGTTTTCACGGCTATCTCGTCTAATCCAACTACCCAAAGAAAGCGAACTGTCATCAACCCCAACGCTAGAAAGCAACGTTCGTACTACATTTACGTCCTATCTGCGCTCCAACTCTGCTCGGTCGCAATCGCATATCTCCGGTTTCCGACATACGATTATGTCCCATATCACAAGGACGAAAAGATTCTTACTGCAGGAATTTGGACCATCCACTTCTCACTCGACAATGATATGTGGTCTTCGGAGTATCGCATGCGCGATGTAATTAAAGAGCTGGAGATTGACGTAATTGGCCTTCTCGAATCCGACTTGCAGCGAATCACAGCTGGTAATCGTGATACTACTCAATTCCTCGCAGAGGACTTGGGAATGTATGTAGACTATGGACCAGGTCCAAATAAGCACACATGGGGAGCTGCCTTGTTGTCAAAGTTTCCCATCGTCAATTCAACACATCACCTGACGCCATCTCCTGTAGGCGAATTGGCACCAGCGATCGAAGCAACGCTAGACGTCTACGGTGAGATGATTGATGTTTTCGTCTTTCACTCTGGACAAGAAGAAGATCCTGAAGACAGAAGGCTCCAGAGCGAGTACATGTCCAGGATTATGGGAGCATCACCTCGTCCATCGATACTCCTTTCCTATCTCGTTACCAAGCCACTTGAGGGTAACTATAACACATATGTTTCGAAAGAGAGTGGGATGCTCGATATCGATCCAACAGACTGGGACAGATGGTGCGAATACATCCTGTACAAAGGATTGAAGAGAATTGGGTATGCACGAGTTTCAAGATCAACGATTACCGATACCGAAATCCAAGTTGGCAAGTTCGCGATTGGTGAGCAAGTACCTCAAGACGAGAAAGTTCGCAACAGAAATATTTTGGAAGCAGAAGTACCTGAAGGAAGAAGATTCCCTCAGATGTTCCGGGGAGAAGGGGTTCGGGGGCACTTTTATCACGTTTTAGACGATGCGCCGCGATATTATGCCTAAGCTTGGTTTCTTCTTGTGATAGCCAATGTGTTCGTATTTTTTGATTCTTTTCTTTTGTTACATTGGGAGGCTGCGACATGATTATGTTCTTACGGCCGTAAAAAGGAGTACCTAGGAAAAGTAGATTAATAGAATGGATTGTACTGTATAGAGCTCATGGAAGGTTGGTTGATATCTAGGTATTCAATTTTAGATTTGTTGATCTCTGATTTTTCTTTCTCGCGTATTGTCTTTGTGTCTCCTTTAATTGGACTGATATGAAAATTTATGTCCTCTTTTCTTCACCTCTTAAATCTTTGTGAATTTAATGCTATTTTCCAAGGAATCTTGGGAATATTCACACCACCGGTTTTGGTGTTTTCGTTTTTGTTGATTCTTAGTACTCCCTATATTTTATCTGTTTACTTTGCAATGTAATCCCATGATCCGGAACTTCAACCGCGAACCCACCACATCTCTCTCATCTTACAGGTCAAAGCTACCCCTGTCTATATGTATGCAAGGCTGATAACTTGGCGTAAATGATCGCCATCCGTTATCGCGTTGCGTTGCCTCGCCATTACACCTGACTCAGTCGCACAACCCCCATCGTGTGACGCTGTATCTCTACTCCGCAGACACTCTCTTTCCCTCTCATAAACTCTCCTTTCTTCTCATTCTCTCCTTGTCAGGATCCGCAGGAATGAAGTCCTTACTCGCCGTCGTGGCGCTTTCCACGCTCGCAGCGTCCTCTGCGGTCCAACAACCACTTCAAGTTCCTAACCAGGAACCTCTTATCAGTATCAATACCAACAGCAATTCCGAATCCAGCTTCAAATCGAAGCCGCTGATCAGCTCCACGAAGCTCCAGGATCATATACATTCCGAGAATCTACTGAAGCGGGCGGAGGAGCTGTATGAGATCTCCAAATTGGGAATTGAGGAATACCATCATCCTACTAGAGTTATCGGGAGCAAAGGTAGCCTCCTCTCGTTATAATACTACAATGCATTGTATATGCTAACACAAGCTTTATTACTAGGTCACACCGGAACCCTCGATTACATATACTCTACCCTCTCTCAGTACTCGGACTACTACACGCTCTCAAACCAAACCTTTGACGCAGTAGTAGGAAATGTCTTCGGCTCCAAACTCACATTTGGATCTTCCCAAGTCCATGCTTCCCCCATGTCCCTCACGCCTCCAACGCCAAATAAAGAAGCGGTGTATGGACCACTAGTTCTCGTAGCAAACGAAGGCTGCGAAGCCTCCGATTACCCGGCCAACACAACTGGCTCCATAGCTCTCATCCGTCGAGGAATCTGTTCCTTTGGTGCGAAATCCGCCGCTGCTGGGAGAGCGGGAGCTTTGGCGGCGGTGGTATATAACAACTACCCCGGCTCGCTTTCTGGGACATTGGAAAGTCATACGCCGGATCATGTCGCGACATTCGGGCTTTCGGGCGAGGATGCGGAGCCGTTCATTGCGGATTTGAAGGCGGGGAAGATTATCCCGTCGAGCGCGTGGATTGATGCGATTGTCCGGAAGACAGCTACTACCAACATCATTGCTCAAACGAAACGTGGGGATCAAGAGAACTGTGTCATGGCAGGGGGACATAGCGATTCTGTCGCTGCGGGACCGGGGATAAACGATGATGGGACGGGATCTCTTACGCTGTTGGAGATTGCTACGCATCTTCCTAAATACACCGTTCAGAACTGTGTTCGTCTCGCGTGGTGGGCAGGAGAGGAAGAAGGCTTGCTGGGCTCCGATTACTACGTCTCGCAACTTACGCCAGAAGAAAATCTCAAGATCCGTCTGTTTATGGACTACGATATGATGGCATCTCCCAACTTCGCATACCAAGTTTACAATGCCACCAACGCTCTAAACCCCGTTGGATCACAGGAACTCCGCGATTTATACACGGATTTCTATTCCGAACATGGGGAGAACTATACGTATATCCCGTTTGATGGACGTAGTGACTATGATGCGTTCATCAAGCATGGAATACCTGGTGGGGGGATTGCTACTGGTGCAGAGGGGATTAAGACGGTGAAGGAGCAGGAGATGTTTGGGGGTGTGGCGGGGGAGTGGTATGATCCTTGTTATCACCAGCTTTGCGATGGCGTTGAGAACTGTGATTTGGGAGCTTGGGAGTTGAATACTAAGGTATGTTTCCCTCCAAGTTCTTCCCCTCAAATTTTCCTACCTTCCTCATTTGGCAAATCAACTTCATTTATTCTTAACTCCTCCTCTTACCTATCCTTGTCACCCCCCCATCCCTTCCGGCACTCAGGCAGACATCGAACTAACACCCCTCCAGCTCGTCGCCCACTCAATCGCCACCTTCGCCCTGTCCTTCGATGGGTTTCCTAAACGGACTTCGTCTATCCCTCTTTCCATGTCCGAAGATGGGGAAAAGAGTCCTTATCACGGTCCAGAGCTTTTCATGTAAGATTTCTTTGTTAGAATTAGTACTCCGTAGATAGAGAAGATAAGGAGGTTTGAAGTAGATTTAATAGAGGAAGATCTTTTTTTTGTAGATTCGAGGAATTATGTGGGTATGATTGTTATACTCATAAGTGTGAGACTTGCGAATGTAGACTAAGAGTAGAAGGATAAGGAGTAGTGAGCTTATATATAAGTCTGTTACGTAGTTACGTGACCCTTGAAAAACTTTGGGAGTATAATATTCAAATATGCGCCCAGCGAAAAAGAGTAGTAGAGTCTTGCTCCCACTGGGGAGTATAATCACTTCGTTCACGCGTTGGCTCGCTTAGTCCTCCTTCGTCCAAATATTCTGTAGAGCATTACCCCTTGAATAAAGTAGGTATCGCTTAGCCAGTCGACTGTTCTAGAAAATCAATTCAGCTTTGAATTTTCAAAACGACCAGGAGATAGGTAGCGCTCCATAACGCACCACGTCATCCAAAGATACCGGAAGTATAAGGAATCTGAAGTCTAATATTATCACATCCCACGGATGACGAATATCACTTCCTCATAAAGCATATAAGAACGCCATCATCCCATCTCCCAAACGGATCCTCTAAGAAACCTAAACTTACATCAAAACTCCTTCAACGATCCACCACTCCATCGCATTCCCAAAGACACCTACCTACATTCAAACCTACTCCGTAGCAATATTAGCACCATACATAACAATCTCCCAATCAACCTCTCTTCCTCCTCCTCGCTAGCACTCATGCCCAACTCGTACATGTCCTCTCATCTCAACCCTTCCTATATCAGATTCTACCCGTTTACTGACACTGATGTTTCGCCCCCGAAGTTATGCAGTAGCTATTCATTAACTAGATGTAGAAAACAGTGTAATGATGCTGAACCTAAGTGCTGCGAGAAACGGGGTGTGGATGTGATTGCTAGAGCGGTATTTTAAGGAAGCGAGGGGATATTTATGGAGGGGTGGGGGGTAGTAATGTCCAGGAGTATGTGGGTTGAAGTGGAGATGGGGTGTTTGAATAGGACTTGGAGGTGTTACTTTATGTCATTCGATACAGCTCTTGATTTAAACCACTTACAGATCATTCTTATTTTCACATTAAGTGAAGTTTCTAAGGAAAACCCAAGTCGGTATCTGTTCTTGTGACTGGTGAGCTCTCTCACTATTTATCGCTGTCGATACCTAGTATTCAGAACTTTAGACAGGTATCTAACGAAAAACACAAGTCCCGCCAACCTCTAAATCTCCAAACGTTAGACATCTATTTCTGGGTCCACGAATGTTCCCTCGTCGTTCTCCAAACCGTCAAAAGCCATAATCCTACCGAGCCTACATCGAAAAAAGAGAAGTGATACCAGGATTCTTCGTATAACCAAAGGATATCCTGCGTAAAGAAGATGGTATACGTCACTTCCATCACTTCCATGGCATGGTGATGAACCTCGGGTTAAGCAGCCATATATATCACCGAGTCTCACAATTCATTATCCACGATTTCTTAGATGACGATAAGTCGTTCTATAATCGTCACTTACAGCCAAGGGCTGGGTTGTTTTTATTAGTATTTCTGCTATAAGGAGTAGACTAGATACTATTAACTCCTATTTAGATAACCCTTCCGAGAAAGGAGGAATTATTCCTAAGAACTCATGGAGAAAGTAGACACTTCGCTATCAAGTATTAATAGGAAGTAATCCGATAATATTCATATACACGGCTATTTAGTCTTCGTTTTTATAAAGGAGAATAGTTTGAACTTAAATATACTATACTATTTCTCTCGAAATCCGACGTATATCCCGCTCTTTTCTTATTTAAACACTCACAAACTCTCCTAATAGAGAAATCCGGTTGCGATTTCAGGATCAGGGGTAAGACAAACGTTGTCATCATTGAAGTACAATATATTTCCTATATTACCCAACTCTAGCGCAACCTCTGCCCTGGACTCCTAGTGTTCATAAATGTCGTTTTTGGCAAGTACTCTACAATAATACTATCGATAGACCGAATGAAGTAACCAGGAATGGTGGCAATCTCGTGAAGATACCTCGAACTCAAAGCAGTGAGTGGTATGTTTCGATTTATACTTAAGAACCTGGTCTCGTAGGGTCACTTTGAGTAGCCAACAAGAAGAGTCACTCGGATGTAAACCCCAGAGCCATAATCGGAAGGCAACCATAACAATTTTAAGCTCAATCAAGTTACTTGCTAGTTTCACAACATCTACCACCATCCTACTCTCTCCCAGACTCACACCCCACACCTGCATCCTCCCTTCTTCTCTTTCTCGTCTCTGGTAGCTTAGTTTCTTTCAAGCTTCTTAAAGACTTTCCACATTTCTCAATTCCACAACTTCTCCGATAGACTCACTCTCGCATTCTACATTGTCGATGGACTTCCAGAAAAGAAATCGTATGAGCAGCCATATACTCGGTTCAGTACATCGCAATCTGTATCATCAACGTATCGTCAAAGGGCTAAACAAATAAGGCGGATTTCAGTACCCTCTTCCTCTACGAGGATAGCAAGCTTCTCATGAACCACACTAATCAAACTATGAAGAAATCATTTTCAAAGAATCCCACAGAATCTGTCATAGAACTTATCATGGACCGCCCTATTGTTACATATAGTGTAGGTGTTTAGCCCTATGTTAACAGCGGACCGTCAAAAGGCCAAAAAAGATAAGGCGGATTTCAGTACCCTCTTCCTCTAAGAGGACAGTAAGCTTGTTGTAAACCATACTAAGTAAGACAGGACGGGAATACTTTTCAAGGTATCCCACAAAATCTTGCGCAGTATTTGTGGGTCGTCTGGTTTGAATCCATGTCGGTAGGGAGGTCTATTTTCCTATGGATCTGGTGAATCGTACCAGGTCTTCTTGGTTCATCGTTAACTTGTTGACTCCCTGATGGTGGTAAGATTGTTGAGGTAGTATTTGATGCTAAATACTCATTCTCTCGTATACGAGCGCAGTACCGCTATTCATTTTGTTATCCATACTAATGATGTCTCTTCTCCGAATTTCCCTAGATTGATGAATGAAGGTGAAAGGAATTGTGGGTGTGGAAGGTGCACTTTATATCTCGTTCTTTCTTGTGTAGTTCCTTGGTTTCCGTTGAATTGGAAGCCAAGCAAGCAAGCAAGCATGATTGTTTGGCTTTGCTGTATTGGTGAGGAAATGCTGGTATTCCCAGAGCTCAATTGAGTCATCCTCAATTCCAGCCAAGCAAGCATGACTGTTTGGCTTTGCTGTGGTTGTGGAGGAATTGAGATATTCCCAAAGCTCAGTCATCACTTCTTCATCGCATCTACTATCATCGTCTTGAGTATTGGTATGTATACTGAAAAGTCTTCAGCTGAGACAGGACAAAGACATGGCGTAGGTGGGCAATGTCTTGGATAACCTGTTGATTGGTGGCCTTTGATGTAGATGTGTGACCAAGGTGTCTTGTATGTATTGTTGATGCTTTTGAAAATACTGTGGCTTCCAGGCTTAGACACGCAACTGTCTCCGTTCAAGAACTGGTTGGTGGTTCTTATTTATGTAGGAACTCTGGGGGTATTGTGATCGTTTCCATCTCTATGTTTAATATGATGTCCTGGTGGTGGCTTTAAAGTGCTTTTGGCATGTAGAAAAGCGGAACGAGGTACAGACAACAGCTCAATCTTAGATTCCTTAGACTAAAGACGAAGATAATTAGATTCTTTGTGTCTGTAAGATAGGATGGAGGAGGACAGAGAGAAATAGCAACCCACTCTGCTAACCTCAAGCTAGTCATGGACTCTTGCAAGTTTCTAAAAGGTACTAGCGGGCTCCTGATCTCATTTTGACATCGCTAAGCTTCATTCCAAGATGCTCAGAAGTATGGGGTCTTTGGTTGCATGTTTTTGATGTGAAAAGAGTCGGTGTGGTGTGAACGATGTTTGGGCTATGCATGATGTTGTTCAGGCAGAGAAGCGGAGAAGATACGGAGCAGCTCAAAGGTGGTAGAGAGTAGAATTTGGATCCTTGAAGTTGGAGAGGAGGGAGATACAGGAATGAAGATACAACAGACCAGATAAAACAAACAAAAGTCGCATTTATGATCTAGCTTGTGTTCCTTTTCAGTTCACTACAAAGAAATAGCTTTCCTTCTCAACGTTACAAGAATGTATAAGTGGAGATAGATGTGAAGAAGTATATATCATTGAAAGAACAACCCACAGTGTAGAAACCAGGAAAGACAGGAAAAGAAAGGGGATTTATACTTCCCTAAAGTACTCAGTAGAAAATCTTGATGGTCGGTCTTGAAGGAATAAGTCATAACTAAGAAGTATAGCTGGTAAGTTTGTATCATGGTTTATACTTCACTATGAGTAACATCAACCTTACCCTTTGATATCACCTTTGAAATGAGGGTACCAGATTTAGACATGCAGCGATATCTTCTGAAAACCTGGGACGAAATGATGGCAGAATATTGCACTAGGTATCAAACAACCTTAATCACGTCATATTCCAGTACTTTCGGCTTCACAAACTACAGCCAAGATACTGTCAATCAGACGAAGTAGGCAGTAGTGGTCTCCTGTTTTCTGTTTGTGTTACTCAACACTTCACTGTGACTCTAGCTCTCGCTGTTACTTACAGGTTGATGTTGGTCAACTTATGAATCAGGTAGAAGTGCAAAGACTAAGAACTGAAACGCAAGGCAGGACAAATAACATAGAGAGAAACAACCTTCTTTCACAACTCCACATTGGATTGCAGATAAAGACTCAGACTGGGTATCAAACGCCACGCAAACAACTCAACATCCCCCCAACCAAGCACCCCTCACCTCAACAAACCCCCCAAATCCCTTTCCATCCCACTAACCCGTTCCTCAAGGTCCCTCTTCCTCCCCTCCAACTCCCTAATCTCCTCCTCCTCCCTCCTCAAATCCTCCTCCGTAACATGGACACTCTCATCCCCCCCATCCCCCTCCATCTCCTCCTCATCACTCTCCACAAACCCATCCCTCCTCCGAATCCCCTCCACC